CTTAGACTAATACATTGACCTACACTAACACTGCTGTCGTGTAAGTCTCTCTGTTTCTCTGTCTTTCTTTTTTCTTTTCTCTTTTTGTCTATCTCTATCTCTCTGTCTGTTTGTGTGTGTGTGTGTGTGTGTGTGTGTGTGGTGTGTGTGTGTGTGTGTGTGTGTGTGTGTGTGTGTGTGTGTGTGTGTGTGTGTGTGTGTGTGTGTGTGTGTCTGTCTGTCTGTTTGTCCTGTCTGTCTCTCTCTCTCTCTCTCTCTTCTCTCTTTTCTACAGTATTTGTCTGTCTATCTCCCTCTTCTCTGTCTCTGGAGGAGGAAGAGGAGGAAGGAGGAGGAGGAGAGGAGGAGGAAGGAAAATAGGAGGAACAAGAGGAGGAAGAGGAAAAAAGAGGAGGAAAAAGAAGAAAAAGAAAAGTAGGAGGAGAAGGACGAAAAGTAAGAGGAGGAAGAGGAGGAAGAGGAGGAGGAGGAGGAGGTCCTAGAGTGTCTGTCAAAATCAATACCTCAAAACAAGATACTCGGGAGGCCCTGTCTACTTCACTCGGGGCGGACACTTTAGCAGGTGGAGGGGGAGGGGCGGGGTATGGGCGGAGGGGGGAGAGGGGAGGTAGGATAGAGGGTGGAGGGGATGGGAAGAGAAGGTGGATGGGAGAGGGGGTATAGAGTATGGGTGGAGGGGGAAGGGGCGGTATGGGCGTATGGCGGAGGGGGTAGAGGGGAGAGGGAGAAGATGGGGAGAGAGGGGGTGGGTGCGGAGGGCGGACACTTTAGCAGGTGGAGGGGGAAGGGGCGGGGTATGGGCGGAGGGGGAGGGGGGCCGGTATGGGCAGAAGGGGGCGGTAAGTGCGGAGGGGGAGGGAGGGGAGAGGGGGAGGGGAGGGGAGAGGGGGGTAGAGAGTATGGGTGGAGGGGAGAGGGGTAGAGGAGGAGGGGATAGAGGGGGTGAATGAGGGAAGGATGGGAAGAGGGGATGGATGGGAGGAAGGATGGGGAAGGGAAGGATGGGGGAGAGAGGGTGGGGAGAAGGGGAAGGGAAACCATGGAGAGAGGGATGGGTAGCGGACAGGATAGGGGGGTGGATGAAAAGGGGAAATGATTGGGGGAAGGAAAAGCGAACATGATCGGAAAGGAGGTGAGAAGGGGAAAAGAGGGAGAGGAGAAAGGGAACAGAAGGAGAAGGAGAAGAGGGGAAAGGATGGGGGGAAGAGGTAGGAGAAAAGAGGAAAGTGTGGGGAGGAAGAAAGGGAAAAGAATGGGGCGAGGGAGTGGGAAGAGGAAAAAAAGATAAAGGGGAGAGGAGAGTGCGAAGGGGAGAGGAGGTGGAGGGAGAGGGTTGGGGGGGGGGCAGGAAGGAGGGAGGGAAGGGGAGAGAAAGATATAAGAGAAGAAAAAGAGACGAGACGTTGGATCAGAGAGAATGAAGACAGGAAAGGAAGAAAGAAGGAAGTAAGGAAGGAAGGAAGGACAGACGAGAAGAAGGAAAGAAAAGAGAGAGAGAGAATAACTAAGAACAAAATGATACAGGAACGGCGAAGAGAAAGAGAGAGAAGGAAGAAGAAAGGAAGAAAGTAAGGAAGGAAGACCAGAAGAAGAAAAGAAAAGAGAGAGAGAAAGGGAGAATAACCAAAAACGAAAAGAGAGAGAGATGAGAACTGAAGGAACAACAAAGAGAGAGAAAGGAAGGAATAAAAAGGAAGAAATAAATAAAGAAAGGAAGGAAGACCAGAAGAGGAAGGAAGAGAGAGAGAGAGAGAGAGAGAGAGAGAATAACCAAAAACGAAAGGATAGAGAGATGAGAGCTAAAGGAACGACAAAGAAAGAAAAAGGAAGGAATAAGAAGAAAAAAAGAAAGGAAGGAAAGACCAGAAGAAGAAAAGAAAAGAGAGAGAATGAGCTAAAGAAACAACAAAGAGAGAGAGAGAAAGGAAATAATGAGAAGGAAAACAGGAAAATCAAAGAGCAAATCCTTACCTGGACTTTCACGATTCCAAGTTGCAGACGTCAGCATTAGTCAGCACGACACGGGTCAGCGAAGCATAGATCAGTCACATTGCAGCATTTCCTCATTCAACATTGCACAAGTCAACACTGAGTCGACACTGCGTGACT